TCAGCCTTCCAAGTAGCTGGAACTACAGGTGTGCACCACCATGCCCAGCTAATTTTTTGATTTATTGTAGAGATGAGGTCTTGCCATGTCACCCAGGCTGGTCTTGAACCTGTGGGCTCAAGCAATCCTCTTGCCTCTGCCTCCCAAAGTGCTGGGATTACAGGTATGAGCTACCATGCCTGGCTAGAATTCACCTTTGCTGCTGGATTACCCATTTTTCTCTTGCAACATATTTTCCTTTTAATAAATCTGCCTTTCTAAATTAATAACTATCTTGGCGAATTCTTTCACCACCCACGTGATATCTGGCCTCAACTAGTCACATGCACAACACATGATACTGAAGCTTTAATGGGGCTTCCCGGGTAGACAAGTTTTCACACCTGTTGTCACAAGTACATGATGGAGTAATGAAACATGTTCTGTGTGACTCCACCAGGAGAGGATGCTTGGAAGTTTATGCCTGATTTCCTACAGACTTTGTCCCAAGGATCCCACCTTTTCCCTTTGTATCCTTTTGTTGTTATAAATCATAATTGTATCACTAGGTGCTGAACCCTGTGAACACTCCCAGAGAATCACCAAACCTGGGGGTAGTCTTGGGGACCCCTGACATAGATAGTATCCTCATTCAGGGGTTCAAGGAATCTGTAAAACAGCCCCAGACTGCATTTTCCAAACTACTTTCCCTCTACTCTCCAAAAGGCATTCACTGATTCAAGAAATGATTGAGTGATCTTGGCCTTCCAAGTACTATGAAAAAAAAAGAAAAAGAAAGGAAAAAGGAATGATTGAGTACCTAACACGTGTGATGGCGGAATGGGGACTAGCAAAGTTTTTTGTTTTGTTTTACTTCTTTTGGGGGGGGGGTGAAGGGACACAAAAATTGGAGCACTAATAGATTAAGATTATCCAGCATGCTGGGCACAGTGGCTCATGCCTGTAATCCCAGCATTTTGGGAGGCAGAGATGAAAGGATTGTCTGAGTCCGGGGGTTCGAGGCCAGCCTGGGCAACTTATGGAGACCTCGTCTCTACAATAAATCAAAAAATTAGCTGGGCATGGTAGCAAGTGCCTGTGATTCCAGCTACTTGGAAGGCTGAGGTAGAAGGACTACCTGAGCCCAGCAGGTCAGGGCTGCAGTGACAGTAAGCATGCCACGCACTCCAGTCTGGGCAACAGAGTTAAGACTCCAACTCAAAAACAAAGGGGAGGAGTCCTCTGACAATGGCAAATATAGTGAAATTGGGTATAGACACTGGTTATGAAATTATTATAAGTGGGAAAAAATACAGGCCCAAATTAGAAAGGGCAATAACTAGGGAGCTGGGTAGGATTAAAAACTCAAAGGTAGGCTGAATGATGTGGGTTACCTTCTAGTCCAACTGGACTCCTTCCCTGTCTCAGGAGTGTTCTATTCTTTCACTTCACAGTCATGTCTTTGTTCATACAGAGTCCGCAGCCTGGACACCCTCCTGTAACCCTCTGCAGCCTAATTTCTGATCCATAAACTTCTGCCCATCCTTCAAGGTCTCTTAGTTTCCTAACACAGACTTCCAAACTCCACAACACATGGCAACTTTCAAAAGAGCACTGACTTATTTCTCCCGCGTTTACGCTGGGAGGATGTTTTGATCCCTGTGGTCTGTCGCTGCCTGGCACTACAGATGCAGACATTTACAAGAGATGATCCTCACTGAAGAGAGCTGTTCAGCCAATGTTCCTGAACTGGCCTCCGCATCACATTGTTACTCCTAATGACTTTGAACTCCATGCACACAGGATTAGTTCCCACCATTCCCTCAAGGAGGTAAATGTTGCCCATGCCTGTCCCAGTTAAACTAGAGCCGCTTGTTGATCACACAGACTCCTGAGCTCCCACCCTCTTCCCTTTGGTGGGTTCCAGGTGCTGGTTCTCAGCCCAGGCTGCACTTGACACTCACTTCAAAATAAAGATGTACAGGTTCCACCCCAGACCGAGTGAGTAAGATGCCCCAGGTGTGGTCACATGGGGGGCATGATTCTTAGGATTCAGCAAGTTGGGAAGATAAGAGAACAGAGTTTTGCACTTTCAAAATGGTCTAAAACAGTGCCGAGTGCAGTGGCTTACACCGGTAATCCCAGCACTTTGGGAAGCCAAGGCAGGAGAACTGTTTGAATCCAGGAATTCAAGACCAGCCTGGGCAACATAGTGAGACCTCATTTCTACAAAAATATCAAAACACTAGCCAGGCCTGTAGGCCCAGCTATTTGGAAGACTGAGACAGGAGGATCACTTGAGCCCAGATAAAGGCTGTGATAAGCTGTGATCATACCGCTGCACTCCAGCCTGGGCAACAGGGTGAGACCTTGACTCAAAAACAAAACAAAAAAATTTTTAAGTTATTCATGGGAAATATCAGGATTATGAGCAAAACATGCTGCTTTTCTTGGCATCTTTCTTTGGAGAGGTTTAAAGTCCCTCACTTCTACTTTTTTTTGACTAGCCTGACATTTTTATTTAATAGTGTATATTTCATTCCCATTTTTTAGAAAAGAATACCAAGGTACACTGAAGAAGAAACATCAATTCAGCTAGTTGGCTGAGACAGAAAGAGAATCAGGCGGGATGCTCAAGGCTGAGAGCCTGGCCAGCTTAGCCCTGGATAGCAGCTGTATAAATTGAAATACAAAAGACTTCTCAAAAGCTGCACTAAATTAAATCTGTTACTACACCAGTGACACAAATTATGTGATGCTGCTGCCATATTATTTTGATTTGTATTAATTTGTCTTATTGTACTCCAAATGGACAGTGGGAAAATGCCATTTAGAAGATTCACACAACTAATCTACAAACATAAATGGAAAATTTTAGATGCCCAAAAAGTCTGTGCTATTCTAATACTTCAATATTAGACCTTATT